ATTTGAAAGTTCACAACTCTACAACGCTTTTATCCAACGACATTAAAAGCTGGAGGAAAGTTTTGATTAAGTAATACATATAAATATTCTACGAGTGACCTGACTTGAACTAGACCGCTCACAGTCTGGGAGCTTATTGGCTGTCATCTGATAGATCATTTGGGGTCTAGTGGATCTCTGGGCTAAGACTTCCATTTCCACCCATCAAATAATTCTTTACAAATGCAGATCCACGTTTAAGTTTCTGATGGTTTTGAAAATGCATTTCAGAAAAACGTTTACCTGTTTGCAGCCAAATGGAACCAAGGCTGGGTCCAAGGACAACCCAATTCCCACAGACTCCCTTAAACAAGCATCGTTACAGCTCGGCACAAAACCTATTTTAGGCACTCAACCCTCTTTTCCATTCAGTTTAGTTTCATTTAGATAGTGCCAAACCACTCAAAGTGCTCTATAATGGAGGGTAAAGACCCTACAGTTATAGAGAGAAAACCCCAATAACATATATCGCATATACTTACAATGTTTGGGTGAGAAAGACGCAGCAGAACGCCGATTTCGGTGCGAACAATTTTCTTGTCAATCTGCAACAGAAGAAACATGATCAGAATGGACGGATTTACCCTTATAAGTCAAAACATAACAAATATCTTCTGCTGAACAGTGTTACCCTACAGATTTTTGAAGGTTAAAGTCTCCATCATGCTGGTTCACTGACCGTTTTCTTGAGGACTTTGACAGCGTAGGGCTTCTGGGTCTGTTTCTCCTCACAGCGATACACAATAGAAGTCGCTCCTCTGGAAGGAAACACAAAACAGTTAAACCTGAACACTGCAAAGACCTGTGTGTACAACATGGAAACCAGTCTGAGCTACTGAAAAGGAGGAACTGAGAATTCTTTAATTGGAGCCAAACAGGCACTTGAACTAAGTACTAAAATTTAGTTTCATTTTCAGGAAACACTGATAATTATTCTACTGTATGAATGACACAACATTTAGACTTTTTACTGGTTCCTGCTGGTACTTAAATGTTGGTGCAGTGAAAAAAACCCCCAAGAAACTAGTGTTTGTTCCACTGAAGGGCATTCAGACATGTTCCACTAGACCGAGGTAGGCAACTCCAGGCCTCAAGGGCCGGTGTCCTGCAGGTTTTAGATCTCACCCTGGGTCAACACACCTGAATCACATGATGAGTTCATTAACAGGCCTCTGGAAAAGTTCAAGACATGCTGAGGAAGTAATTTAGCCATTTGAATCAGCTGTGTTGGATCAAGGATACATCTAAAACCTGCAGGACACCGGCCCTCGAGGCCAGGAGTTGGACACCCCTGCACTAGACTATATGACGGAAAATTAGGGCCACATTAAGAAAACAAAATGAATGTCCATTTTTATATTAAAGTCAAAATTTCAAGATTAATTTGAAATTTGAAATGCGGAGATTACAGTTGTCATGTAAAGCCAAACATCTGCCATGGCTCCTGTTCCCTCTACAAAAGGCCTCGTGTGGATGAGTTAGGGAAACAAATTGATCGTTGTGTCTTGTTATACCGCATACATCCTCTTTATTGCACGAGGGCGTAACCATCAATATTCTCACAGCTGTCCACTGCCAGCCATTTCAACTCTTCCAGGTTTGTGTGGGGTTTTCTTTCTTTTCAACCCCCACCACACTGTTCTTGTGCTAAAAGAGAAATGATTTCCTTAACGAAACCAGTTTTGAAGTACAATTTCACGACCTCATCTACACGAGGCTTTTTATAGAACTACAGCAGCTGTGGCAGCTCCACATTTTACACATCTCACACATTTCTCTCAAAATAGTATTTTTTTAAACCAATTAACACAGAGGCCTCGAATCTGTAGGTACTTTTGGTCCTACAAGAGGAAGTCCTTGTGTTTGAAACATGCACAACGGGTTCATCCATCCAATAATACCCCAGCAGATTCTGCAATAGAATCTGGCAGTATGAAACTCAACTTATCTGTTACTCAAATTAAAAAGGTTTAGATAAGGTTTAACAGCTGGTGGACGTATACAAAAAAAATCAAGTTGAGTTTTTATTTGAGATGTTTTATTCCCATCTTTTCTGTTGTGAGTGTGCTTTTTTCTTTTCACACCTGCCTGTCAAAGTTAGACTTAAGTTAGATTATAGCTGGAACAGAGTTGGGTTTCAGTTAGGATTAGAGTAAGATTACTTAAGGGTAAGTCCAATTAAGACATGGGATCACAACCACAACTCTGTGTGTGTGTGTTTAGGGATCTGGTATTCTGCCGGGACAGATGGAGGAAACAGATCCATCTGAGAAGCATCCACAGACTCTCTCTCTCTCTCTCTCTCTCTCTCTCTCTCACACACACACACACACACAGTCCTGGCTGGTCTCCATGGCAACAGGACACCTGGTAATAGAACTGGTGGCGGCATGCTCACACGTTTGATTTCACTGCTGACATCATTTTCATCATTTTCTGCAGATCTGCTGTCAGTGTTGTGGGTGTTGGTGTTTGCTGAGATAACAACAAACACAGTGTGTAAATACACACAGTCCACCGCACGCTGTAAACATTCAAACAACGAACAAACTGCCCGAGCTCCAAACAGTCTGCAGGTCTCTTTCACGACTCATCTTTGTTGTCTTTTAGCTCAAATTCCATGTTTGCTCTGACTTTTTATGGTTTTTAAACATGAGCCACACAGACTGGCAGACACTGAAGCGTCAGAGCATCTGGAGCAAAAGCACAGCAGTATAAATGTACAGGATTAAAACTGCTGCAGTCAAAGTAGAGACGTGTAAGCTAAATGTACTTTAAGCAACCGAAGTACTTATTGATCAATGCAACACATTTGAATGTATTTATTTCTATGTTGTCATTTTTTTATGTTTCAAAATATCCACATCAATACTGACTTGAAAACCTGGAAGATATTAATATGATTTATTAATAAAAATCTGTAAAGTGTTCAAATATATTAATAAAATATTTGACAAACTGTATTGTAAATTGTTCAAAAAAACTTGTATCGGCAAATGGAAATAATTCCCGTATCATCAAAAAGTAAGTATGAAATTGGATAGATAGATAGAGCTAAGAGCTAAATAACCAAATCAAATACCAGTCTTAAAAATGCAAAACCTCTTTGATAAAAAATATACCTCATTTTAAAAATCATTACAAATATGTATAGATACATACACCAGATAGATAGATTATACGCGTGCACCAAGCGCGTGATGCAGCTGTGTTTTACTGTTATCAATATTTTTTAACAGCCTTCACTTAAATCTACTTAAAGTGGCGCAGTCTGAAATCTTATATTGGTTACACAACGTGAATGTGCAGACAACAAGATGCTGCGCATAAAACACATTTTCACTCTGTGATTACACAAGAAGACAAAGATTGCTGACAACATTTTGACACCAAAGCTCAAGCTTCGTTTTCTTGCTTCGGTGTTTCCCGTTAAATTCCAACAGGAACCAGTATTTAACCGGTACCTCATTCAAATGAGTAACCCTGTAATCCACGGGATGGATTATAAAGTGTGGCCAAAGTTAATCCTGAAGGATCACATGGACCCCCTCATGCAGGCAACTTTGGCCCAATGAAGTGTCCATATGAACTCATCGGTTTTCCCCTGCCCCCCCATAATGTGGTCCAGACCTGCCCAGCTCCGAGCTCAGGGTGTAGAATTCCTCCACAGTCCCGTCCCGCCTTGATCCGTCCACCCAGAACTCCACCGGCTCCGAACCAGGCCGGGACGTCGGCATGATGATAGCAGACCTCCCCCAAACCAGCACCAAGAAGACCGGGACCGAGTCAAAGATCACACCAGTTCCGGGACCGGTTCAGACCGGGCCAGATGTGACCCGATCAGAACCAGGAACAGAGTAATCCCGATCAGATCTCAGATTTAAATCCAGCTCGGTAAAACCCAGATTAGAGTCACGGAGGGGGGATGATTCATGATCCTGATGGGCTTTAATCCAGACCAGCAGGGGGAGGAGGAGGAGGGGGATCCGCCTGCTCCTTCAAACTCTCAATCAGGACCGTTTATCTGTGAGGAAAGGGCAAAAACTAAAAGAAGAAAACAAATACACCGAACCCCCGGTGATGAGCACGGCTCTTTAATCCAGACTGAAGCTGGAGCCGGGATCCAGACGCTCCAGGTCCAGATGTGTCGCAGCTTCCATCGGGCCCTAAAAACCTCTCAGACGTCGGATCAGCTCAGTCCATCACCATCCTCCCGGGTTTAGGCTTAGTACCTCCGTGTTTTCACTGGCAGAAACGGACCGTCCGTCTCTCCGGAGCGCAGCAGCCTCCCTCCGGAGATGCAGCCCACAGAGCCACCACAGCAACACCGAAGAGCGGGTACGTGTCGGGAAACAGACTGCGAACACCGGGGTGAGTAGGTGGAGGGTGTCAGCGTTCGATGCTCAGGGGTCTGATTCCCGGGTAGGGCTGCTCCAGATGTCTGATGGATCTGCGGAGGGAGAGAGATGCTGCTGTAATCTCACAGCCCCGCCCCACCGCCACCCCGCAGACCAATCACAGCCCCGCGGGGGAGCCGAGTCGCACTCCTATTGGACCACCATCCTCTCAGTCACCGAAGTTCTGTCAGCAGCCTAAATACAGAAATAACCTAAATACATAAATGTACATTAGCGTGACATGTGGAGACTTTGATTCTGCGCGAATCAAACCACTCTTTCACACGTGCCCAGCGCCGCAGAAGCACAGCGCTGAAACACTGAGGCGCTTCCTTCTTTGCATCTCATCAGTTTCTGGTCAGGTTTTAACGAACAAACAGGAGACGCACTCCACAGCTTTATTTGCAGTTTGATATAGTGTTGTGCTAAGGATTATTATTGTTTCTAAGATAACCTCTATATTTCAAAGACATCATACTGTGGTAACCTTGGGGCAACAGCTTCCTAACTTAAACAAGCTGCAGGACTTTTATTTGAGCACTCCAGAGGGTGCAAAAATTAAAGAGACATTAAAAATATTATCAAACTGAATTCCGGGACTCCATAAAGATATTTGTGAACATGAAAGGATGAGTGCACAACACTAAATACATCATTATCTGAAAAGAGAAGCCAGTGAGAAATGCTTTAAACCTGCAGTCCGTCTAATATCCACCAGATGGCGCCTCTCCTGATTGTACAGAAGTCCACAGTAAACTAAAAAAAATTGTTAAACCTTTGGACTGATGAAAGATAAGCATAATTCCCTAACATTTGTTATGTGGAGTTAGTGATTTACTTTTTGCTCTAGCCCACTCTGCTCTGATCTGCTGGTTGTTGTATTTTAATTGCCATCAGCAAAGTTGCAGAGTGCCCTCCAGTGAAAAGAAGTGTGCATTGTCAACATCCATACCACGATTGTCTCTTCTTTACTTTTTAATTTTTTCTATGTGTCCTTATTACGTTGATACCTATACGTCATCAATTACATGAAAATATCGTCTTACCAATATTCCAGTAAAGTAAATAGAATATACAAAAGAAATACCAAACTATTTAAAATACATCAGGTGGTCTTAATTATTTTCAGCCTCGGTCGTTGTGTCCTTGGGCAAGAAGCTTCACCCGTTGACTGGTGGTGGTCGGAGGGGCCGGTGTCGCCAGTGTCCGGCAGCCAGGGCAGCTGTGGCTACAATGTAGCTGCCATCAGCAGTGTGTGAATGGCTGAATCTACACTTTGGGGTCCATACAAATACAGACCGTTTACCCTCTGTGCGCGCGCGCGCGCGCGTGTGTGTGTGTGTGTGTGTGTGTGTGTGTGTGTGTGTGTGTGTTTCTATCATTGTCACATTTGATTAAACAAATAAAAACTACACTGTAAACAGTATAAAAGTTCACATGAACCAGCAAGTTTTTTTTCTGGATTACATTCAGTGACTCAGACAACAGTGTGAGAACAGTGACAACAGCTGGTTTTGTATCCTTGTTGTGTGTCTGCGTGTCTTTATACTCATCAGTGATCAATTTGTGTTATACTGGTTCTTTTTGAGTCCCTTTGTGAGATAGGGTAAGATATAGGTTACATTATTCATCCTAGAACTTGTTACAGCAGCCTATTAAACATAACGTATAACAAATAAGCTTAGATGAAGTATAAATGCTTAAAAATAAAATAAATTACAATCTAAAACACAAAAAAACTTTAGCGTCCATTTTTATATTTGTATAATTTTTAAAGTGTTGGGTTCATGGTGTATTTTGTGGTACAGTGCTGCGTAAACCCCGCGCCTCCTTCTGCGGATTGGTTTGCAATGATTGGTCGGTGAGCGGTAACGTGCGGCCCTACGACTGCGACTCCATCTTTGTTGTGACGTCGACCCTTGCTGGACGTAAACTTCCTTGTTGGGATTGTCAACAGTGTGGCGGTACAGTTTAGCTAACGCTACGTGTATCTGGGACTCTGCTTCCGAACCGCTTCGAAAGTCGTTAAGCTTCCTTTCTTATTTTTTGTTTTGAGAGTTTTCAAATATAAAATGACTTTTTATCGAAGTCTCTCAGCGGTTCTTGTATCGGTATGCTGGGTTCCCTTGTCCGTGGCGGAGGAGGTGAAGAACAGCACCGAAACTCGTAGAACCGCCGCGACGAACTCCAGCAGGGTTAACGCCATAAACGGCACCAGCAAGGGTCCGCTTAATACCTTCAACGTGGACAGCTCGATGATCCAGAGGGCCCTCTACGTCCTCGTTGGCATCACTATAATCGGCGTCCTCTACTTCCTCATCCGAGCCGTGCGGTGAGAACTACAATTTAATTCAAGATCAAAAACCATGCTTCTTACAGTCGCTACGCAGTCACAATTTCGGCCTAAAATGTCCAAAATAATTCGAAATATTTACGGATCAGGTGAAAGCCGAATTGAAGAGCACATTTTCCAGCTTCAAAAAATCACTTTACAGTACTTCAGTAACTTTTGAGAAGCGAAGAAAGTTTAAAAAACTGGATTTATGAATGGAGTCTGCTGATTATAAGGTGCTGCACGTTTATTGTTAGCTTTTTGACATAGATTGCATTCTCGGGGTACACGGTTGTGTATATTACTGTATCTGACAAGTTATTAGAGAAATCCAAAAGTAAGAATAGAGTAACATACATAAAGCCGAATTCCCTCCATAAATCTAACAACTTAAAACTTCCGCTTGTATAAGCTGTTTTTATGTGTTGTAAATGACTATATATAAGTCCTGCATTATGTTTTAGTAACCGTTTTTAGTTCGGCATACACTCCAAACTCCTATCACTTCTCTCAGTGTAACCGTTTCTGATAACAGTAGGTGGAACTTGGCCTCTCGTTTCATCCGACGTAGTCTTTGGTGAGAAGTACGTTTTTAATTTGAAGTCAGCGAACCTGCTCCTTACAGACGGAGACTATGCAGTCAGAATCGAGGGCCAACTGTCACAATAATTACAAATATTTACAGAAGCCAAACGGAAGTCACGTGAGACACAATGTGTCCTCAACTTGAGAAGCGGAGAAACTTTAAAACTGTGAATAGTGCGGCTTAATGTTTGTCCACATATGAGGATTGGCAATTTCTAAACTTACACTAGAGCAAGCCTTTTAGTGGCCACTCTTCAGTCCCGCCATTAGTTTGTCAGTGAGTCAGAGCCAGTTGGACACATTGTGTAACCTCAGTCTGAACTTCATCAACCTGAAGGTTTAGTGACAGGCTGCTGGCCTTTGGTCTCTCCCATCATTTAAAGCTGTGGTGTTCATATGAAATCACAGGTTTGGTTCCCACCTGAGTGATGTCACACCAAACGTCATTGTAAATTCAGTCGTTTTAAGCTCTGTCTCATATTAGCGATGTGACACACCTGTGCAGAGTGTCAGTCGTGCGTTTGTGTGAAGTTGCTGGACTCACTGTGCGGTTCAGGAGGTAACACTTAACACTAATCCTGGTCTACCAGTGTCTCGATTTGTTTTGGCCATCACTTGTTTAAGTGCCTTTACATTAAGAATGTCATTCTCCTAACATTTCACATTCAGTTCATAAATATCATAATTCACCCGTGTTTTTTTTAAGTGCTGGACATTACAACTACCTGTTTGGAGCACAGTGGCGTCCAGTTAATAGTAAATGTCTGTTTTGTGATGATGTCGTCAGGCTGAAGAAGCCCACCCACAGAAAGAAGTATGGTCTACTGTCCAATGAGGACGATGCTGTGGAGATGGATGCGGTGGACAGCGACGAGGACGACACGCTGTACGAATCTCGCAGCCTCCGCAGGTCAGAGGTTAACAGGCAACAGCAGTAACGCTGAAATAGAACCAGAACCTGATTTTAAGGCTAATACCAGTAAAAGTTTATTTTTATTTTTTATCTGATGTTCATCAGCAAAAGTAAAAAACATAGAATCATGAAAACACAAAGTTGTCAAAAGAATAAATAAATACATTTGATTATTTTGAATAGTTTGATTATTTAAATAATCCAGAGACGCTGACTGGAATTGTTCCAAAGTCTGAACTTTGCTGACTTTGATTTACAGTCAGTCTGATTGGTGTTATCTTTGTCTCTGTTCAGATGAGTCCTGGTCTTTGTCCTCTGACGGATCAGCCCGTATTGATTACAGATTGAGAGAGGGTGGGAGAAGTGACCAACGACTGCTGAGAGAAGTGGAAATAACAAACAAACTGACCAAATAGTCACTGAAGAAAAATGCCAAATCTCAGCTGCTCAAGGAAGATGAGCAGGATAATCCAATTTTTGTTCTTTTAAATGTGGTGTCGGATGAAATGCAGACATGACGGATCAGTGGATCCTCATGAGGCCAAATGTTCCTTTTCTGTTCGTTACTCCTCTTTAATATTATTTCAGAGTGTTTTTCTAAGAGTTTATTTGGTGTGTTTTTCCACTCTGAGCTTTTCTGCTCTGACTACATGCTTTATACTACTGCAGACTGATGGCAGGCAGCAGCAATGGTGGTGTGAAATGCTGCAATTGATCAGGATTTGTTGTCCTGACAGACGGTCAGCCTGCCCTGAAACAGTGTTTCACATCGGCTGTGTTGAGACTAAAAGGGTGAATGTGAAGCTTTTGTATAACTCTGATTCCTGATGACATTTTTTCTCTGTGGACAAGATTCACACTTCTTAACAAAACATTAAAATCTCATTTTTGAATATAAAAAAGTCTTATCATCTGTTTTTGTTTTTGAACATGAGTCTTTATTTTTTATCATGTCGTGTCAGGTGACATGATAGGATATATCATCTTTTACAAACTTAATATAAAATTAAAATATCTGTAGTTAAAAAATGTGCTTACAGTATTGGAAAAAATAATTTTGTAAAAGCGCTGCAGAAGTGAAAATACATGAAGTAAAGAATATTTCCAAAGTACATGAAGTTTTAGTAAAATATGTAAAAATGTTAGAAAATTAAATTAGAAACAGGGATGGATGAGGATCTCAAAGCAGCTACTGAGTCTGTGTAACTGCTTGTTTGTTTTTTTAAATAATTTAATCATTACTTAG